CTCCTTTTGGGTTTCCCTGCCCGTGCTCTGCTGGGATGTGCTGCAGCCCGTGTCTGGAGGGGGCTTTGCTGCAGGACATGTCCCCAGCCCCACGCTTTTGTCGGTCCGTGCTCCTCGTGGTGCAGCAGCCCAGGGCCAGCCCGATCCTTCCTGAGCCAGCCAGAGCACCAGTCACCAGCAGCCCCTCGCTGGGGCAGAGGGGACCTGCCACCACCCTGCGATGACTTGGGAGCTCCCACAGAGCAGCTGTGAGGACAGGGCTCCCGCTGTCTCCTGTGGCAAGGGGTGCGGGGGCTCCCCCGAGCAGGGGTGGTTTGCCAGAGGTTAGTAAGACCACGGCTGCAACAGCATCAGTGCACCCAAAAACAGGAGAGCCCAGCAGCAGCCCTGGCCCCACTGGTGGTTGCCCTGTGGGGGATGTTCATCAGGTGTAAAGCCATCGGCTGTTCCTGGTGTTGCACCTTGGCCTCATGTGGAAAAACACTCCATGAAGGCAGCCCAGCGCCTACCTTGGTACTCCAGTTTCCTCTTCTCCAGCTCGGCCTCGATCTGGTCTAGCACCATCCCCAGTTCACCAAGGATCTTCTTCAAGTAGTTCACATTGTCGTGCTCCAGGATCTTGGCCTGGGTGGAGAGCGGGGTTAGGATGGAGGGTGGACGGACGGACAGACAGACACATGTCCCTGCAACCGTGCAGGGACACGAGGCACCAGGTTCCCATGGCAGGTCTGTGGGTCATGTCCCCCACCACCAGAGATATGTGTGGCTTTACCTACTCACCATGAGCTTCTTCTGCTTGGAGAGGTAGGGCTCTGATAGCTGTGGCTCCTCTTCGTGGTCCAGCTTCATCAGCTCCGTGCTGGCATTAGCTAAATGTCCTGGGGGGAGACAGACAGAGACAGAGGGGCTGGGGGAGCTGTTTGGCAGGGGTAGGCATGACCTTGTGGCTGGTAGCAAAGCACCTTGTCCTGCAAGCAAGAGAGCCAAGAAAAACACCCCAGAGAGCTAAAATGGGCCAAATTCATGGCTTGCTGCCACCGTGCCCCCCTAGGGGGGGGGGGGGCACACCCTCCCAAGGGCATGCGGCTCCTTCAGCCCTCCCGTCTGCTCACGGCAGGGCAGGTGGCACAGCAGATCCCCCTCCCTGGCCTTGGCGAGTCCCAGCTCTGCGGGTTTTGGGGGGCGTTCAGCTCTTTATTTCCTCTGCTGGATTCATATTAGAGCTGCCAGCAGATCTCTGTCTGTCTGTCACTGTCTTAAGAACATCCCTGAGCTTCCCCATAACCTGGTTCCTGCAGCTCCATCCCCAGCAGGTCGATCCATTGGGATGTCCGAGCCGGCTGCCCGCGTGTGGGTGTGCAAGCAGAGCAGCGCGGCAGGGAGCGGCACAGGACGAGGTGTTCCCTCCCGAATGAAGCTGTCCCACCCCAGCTCGGTGTCGGGGGATGCAATTTGGTAGCGTGGAGCCCAGGAGAGCACAGGAGAGACACCCACCATCCTCCCTCCAAGGGCATGGGGAGAATGCAAAGGGCTTTGTGCAGGGGAGCTGACACAGGGAAAGGAGCAGAGTAAATGAAAAGAGAATACAAGATGCAGAGTAACACCTTAAGGACGACATAAATTACCCGAAGCTGCGCTACTGTCTTCTTGGCAGGGACCATCTGTCTCTCCCTCCTTGCTCCCTCCAATGAGGGTTTGGCTCTGCGGACGTGCGGGTGCAGGAGGTGCCAGGGCAGCAGCCAGCAGCGGGCTGCACGCTGCCACGAAATGGTGAAACTCCCTGCTTTCTACCACGAGCCTTGAAGCTCGTGCTCCCTAAGGCTCCCAGCCGGCTCTCCTGGGGCTGTAACTCAGAGGGAAGCCTGGATATCACCCTGGGTTTGTTCCCTGTTCCCCTTGGGAGACCCTGGCCCTCGGTTCACCCTCTCTTGGGACACAGCTACATGAATTTGCCTCGGCGCCCACTGCAATGGGGCAGCCCGGCCATTGCCTGGGTGTAGGAGATGTGCCAGGGAGGAAGGGCACTGCCGGCACTGGGGCATCCCACTCCCCGCCCACAACCTCTCCTTTGCAATGGCTTGGGAAAAATGCCACCAGCAAGGAGGTTTGGATGGTGAGATATTTTTAGGGACCTCAGCAGAGCGCTGGGGCAGTGATGCGAGGCAGGCGGCTCTGGAGCCATCACAGCGGCACTCTTTGGGGAGGGGATGGGCTCTGGGGGTGGAGATGATGCTTGGTGACATGTGGAAAGCAGCCTGCACAGGGTGCCAGCAGAGGTAGGGCAGACCACAAGTGCATGAGTGAATCCCGTTTTGGAGGGACCATCCATGACCCAGACAGCTGAAGGGACAGTGGTGGGGGAACCCTGTTTGCTATGGGTGCTGCTTGGGGCCAGAGCCTAAAGGAGGGGAGAGACACCAGGCATGCCAGTGCCCTCCTGACAAGGTCACCTCTTTGGTGAGGGACTCTCTCCAGGAGTGATCCTTGCTGTTCAGTTATATTAAGCATTGTCAATGTTTCATGAGCGCTTGAAGGTCACACAATCTTATGCCAATTCATCCACTATCTGCAGCTCGTAGTCACCAGCTGTTGCTCTCAGAACTGTTGGAGGGAAAGGGGATGCGCAGGAGAGGGAGCAAATTCACGTGCCCCACAAAGAGCTGGGCGAGAAGCGTGCATGGCTCAGGGGAGCCTGGACACCTCCCGGGTTAGGAAGCCTCCACAGGGTGCGTGCAGCTCCCAAATTAGCTGCGCTTCACCATTTCCCAGCTATGTCCCTGCCCGTGTTGGTGGAAAGGGGAGATAAGCAAGAGCGGGGTGGCTGGCCGGGCCGCGGAGCTCGGGCCGGGCGCGGGACCCAAACCAAGCCTAGAGGAAGGGCTGTGGGGGCCGTCCCGCTGGCACCGGCCCTGGGCAGCCCCGCTGGAGAGGCGACTTACTGCGGATCTCAGCGGTCGCGTACTTTGGGATCATGGAGTCGGTGGTGAGCTCAGGGTGCAGGATGCAGCCGTGCGTGTAGGCGTCCATGGGGAGCGAGTCCAGCAGCTCCCGGTACTGCAGCACCCGGGAGTGCAGCAGGCTGCCCGGCTCGGGGATCAGCTGCGTGACGTTTTCTGCCAGGGCAAGGGGAAAGGTGTTAGCAGGACGCTCATTAGCAGCTCGTTAGCCCGCGTGGGACACGGGTGTGCAGTCCTGGCTTGAGCTACCTCCGAGCAGGGGCTCAAACCTGTACTCCAGGCTGGGCTCTGCCCCCTCCCTGCTGCCCGTCCCAGCCTGCGCCCAGAGACGGGCAAACCCGCAGGACCCCGGGGACGCGTACACGTGTCGTTCCCCGGCCCCGCAGCCTCCGCGTCCCCAGGAGCTCAGCATGGCAAACACTTCAACTCTGCAGCCCCTGAATTTGTACGCTGTCGTTTCACATCTCTCAGAAGGGGAACAAAATGTTTTAGGAAGCTAAAACACAGGGATTTGAGTTTGGGAACTCCTGAGTTACACGCTCCTTACACCAGTGGCAATGAGACACCTAATTCTCTTGGGCTTCCTCGAAAATCCCATTCAAAATGAGTAATCAGGGAGCTGATGACCAAAGAAGGAGCCCAGCATCTTCCCTCTGCTCTCAGCCAGTGCCCCAGCCGCAGGAGCATCCCCCAGCCCAGCCGGCTCTGCTCCTCCTCGCCTTGTTGGGTTTTATTCATCTTTTGTAGATGGCAGTTTGTATCCTGCTCTTTTTATTACACTTTCAGCTCAAAATACACAGCAGATGACACCACAAGGAGAAAAACGTTGTTCTTGTCTCCGCCAAAAAATCAGGTCCTTTTTTTTTATGGGATCATAAATGTTTATGGCATTTTCAGACAGCAGTTAATAGGTAGTGAGTAAATTTACCACCGGGACTCAGTAAAGCCAGTTGCCCACATGCCACCTGCAGTGCAGGGCTCACCGCACGCCGGCCTCTCGGCACACCGGCAGAAGGACTTTGCCAGACATGGCCAACGCGGCTCCTTAATTAAGGGCCCGAAACGACAGTTCTGCCCAGCCCCGCTGCCGGTGGCGGGAGGAAGGCTGCGGGCACAGCCTGGCGATGCCCACCCAGCACAGACACACAGCTCGCCCTGCCCTGGGCCAGGCAGCCTCGCGCTGGCCGGGACCCACCGCTGGGCAGGAGCCAGGGAAATTTTGGCAAACCTCCTGTATTGCAAACCTCCTAGCAGCTCTGAGTCAGGGCTGTCTCTGCTGGTAGGCTCCGTAAAGTTGTTCTGACCGATGACCATCGGCATTACTGTCCCGAGCGAGGGGAGGATTTGGTAGCTCCTCTCTGCCCACGGGCTGCTCGCTGCCTGCGCTGCCTGGAGTCCAGCTCTCCAAGCGGGGATCTTCCATCCGACACAAGCGACTGGCTGAATGAAATAATAATAACGGACCTATAGACTGTGTGATTCTTCCTGATGGGCTGGTGCTGAGGCTGGAAACCAGCACATCCAGAGTGACTGCCCCGTCTGGCAGCCAGACAGAGTGACCACAATGAAATAGCGGCGTGTTGGCTGCCGGTCCACGTCCTTCAGCGTGTCCCAGGGAGGTTTTGCAGCAGGAGGGTGGGAGGGGGCTCGCTCTGCCTTTGCACGCCACAGCGGACCTGCACGTACGGGCTGCTGCTGCATGTGATGGGGCGGGCAAAGGCGGGATGGGGGGACGCTCAGAAGGACGGGCTGGGGGCTGCAGTTCTTGGAGGAGCCCCTCACCCAGGCTCTGAGATGCATTGCCACCAGCCAACCCATCGGTAGTTTCTTGGCACTGCTGGGCCGTGCCCTAGTGAGAAGCACCCTCAGAGGTGGCTTACTGGCACTATTCACTGCTCCTTTTGGTGAAAGAAAACCATCGCTCATCACATCACCCTCTACTGACAGCTCTGTGTGTAAGCGTGCTCCCAGCTGAGGGGAAAGCATAACTCAGTGAAAACACTTTCTTATAAAGGCATTTTCAAGCTCTGCATGTTTCTGCAAGGTGGGTGATTCTGTGCCATCTTGGTATGGCTTTTGCCAGCTAGCGTTGGTGGGTGATGGCTGGGGGCAGAGCAAGCCGCAGGGAGTGATGCTCCGGGCCCTCTTCCCTGGAGCTTCCCCTCTCTGTTTCTCAACAAAAAGGTAAGAAATTGCACCTGGCCGGAAAACCTCAATGGCAGGAGTTTCCCAGCGCACGGGCAGCGCTGTGTCCCCCTCCCGCTGGGGACAGCCTGTTGTCACATATGCCGGACCACCTGCCCTTTGCAGAGACCGGGCGAAGCGGCGCGGGGACCGCAGCCCCATGGACCCACGATCCCCACTGTCCCTCGGCCCCGG